CTCTGACTAGTTAGTTAATTGCCTGGCCTTCATGGCCATTTCAGTAAGAAACATCAAGAAACTGCTGCTGTTTTACATAAACAATACTCTTGATCGGCGGAAACAAGTATCAAAATGAATTTCTCCTTGTTAGTGATGGAAACAAATCTAAGTTCAGCTTCACATGGGTCATTTTGACAGAAGTGCAATCTTTGGCGAAATGAAAAGAAACAGAAAGTGCAAGCAATAAAATCAAGGCGCCTGAAGATATTTTTAGTTTGTAAGAAAGAACATTCCCATACCTCATTATAAATCAAAAAATAAAACAAACCTGTTTCGTTTTTCAAAGCGATCTCCAGGAACCTATTTCTCAGTGCATTCCTTCCCGCTTCACAAGCATCTTGACTGTGAACCATACCGTGCAACTTTCCCATTTTCAGATTTTCTATGTATCTCAAAATTCCTTTCTTGTGAGTTTTCAGCTTCTCTTCTATAAGTTCTATATCCTGCAAGTTTTCTGGTTTTAGACTTCTCAGCAATCCTTGCAAATGCGCACCCAAGTTACAGATGACTTGTTGCCTCGGATGGCAGTAGAATGTTGGACCCATCATCCAATCTCCGGCGTAGAAATTCATGTCAAAAGGCTGACCGAATACAGTCTTCATATAATGTTTCAGCTGTGATAGTGCTTTCCTTTCGCGTGGCTTGAGCTTTTTAGAGTCCACTTTTATTTCCTTGACCTCATTGTAGAGACTCCACGCTGCATCAGTAACACTTTTGATGTAATCCGGCGTAGGATTATATGATGTGTACTTCTTCTTGATTTCCTCTCGAGAGGCATCGGGGTCTTCCGGCAGCATGAAAGGATGTTTCTCATAATATGTCTTCTTTGCGCGCATAATGATCTCCTCTAGACGGATCCGTTTGGCTTCTTCAGAGTAGTCACAGAAGGATGATGCTGCGGGCGACGTCGATGTCGATGAAGCCTCATTGTCAGTCTCCCCTTTCTTTTTAATTGCAAGCGCTATTAACACGATTCCTACGATCAATGCGATAGCAGCGATTGCAGTGAATAGGATAAGGAATATTCTACTCTTTGACCTATTCCCTCTCAATGCAGTGTAGTCAGCCATGATTTCTACTTAGAAGCAACCCCAGAATACCTTGCCACTTTGGTCCACCTCATCTACTCGTGTCGGATGGCTTTGAAGATCGAGGCATAGCACAATAAACGTTATTCCTATCTAATGAATCAGCAGAATATAAAGTTGTGGCCAGGGCAGAGCATTGTTTTTACGCCTCTATTGTCTACTGAAAGAATATTTACATAATTTAATTTTTTAAGTGTCAAAACCAGTCAGGTTTTCGTGCTAATCATTCA